GGAGCACCTTTTCACCCAAGCACTAACCCCAAACAAACAGCTTTTAAACTAAATTTTACATTTTAAAACAACAATACCAGGCAGTCCCAGGTCTCTCTCCCAGCTCTCTAACTGCTTGGACTAGCAAGGAAGCTGACAAACAGCCTCTTCACTAACTGAAAGTTTGAATTTCCCCACTTTCCCTGCCTTCCCCGCATATTAGGTATGCTAATATCTGTGCACTGGAGATTTGTGGGAGGAACATCCAGCCCCTGATGGGGGTCCTGTGGGGCACCCCAAAACACTGAGTAGCTCTTTTGGCCTCTTTCGGGACTGGGGCTGTGCAGCCCTGTTCTGATCAGGAGGTACAGCCGGGGGGGTCACCATGCCTTTGGGGGACAGGGCACAGAAAGGGGCAGGAGGTTCAGGGGCCATTCCAACTCATACCTGGCAGGGGAGATACCATGATCATCAAAGTGCTCATCTATTGCACTTTGGATGTGCTGACTCCTGTGATTTCCCCAAATGTGAGAAAATCAACTGCCTAAGTGGGGGAATGTGTTTGTGGTTTCCCCTGGTCTTTCTAGAATCACTCTTTCCCCTTTGGTCCTTGGCTGTTTTCACTGCCTGCTGCCATAGGCCTGTTGGCCTTGCTGGTTTTCCAGGTGGGCTCCAGGAAGCAGATCCTGGAAAGCCAGCAGTGCAGAATGGTGAGGTCCAAATAGCAAGCAGTCTCTGGTGCCAGTTCAGAGGCCTCCCAGCATGGCAGTGGGAGGCTTCTGGGTGGTGGTAGTTGAACCCTTTTTTTACTGTATTCGCTCCATAAGACGCACATAATTTCTCCCCCGCTATTTGGGGGGGAAGTACGTCTTATGGAGCGAAAAATATGGTACGTCTTATTTTTGGGAAACAGAGTAGAACAGTCTTCAAGAATAAACATTTAATGATCTTTGCTTTAGAAAATCTGAGGCTTTGATCTCCTTAATGACTGTACTAAACATAAACAAAACATACATAATTCAATTCAGGACAATGGTTTTGGAGTCATAAATATGTTGTTATGAATCAGCATTGCAGAAATATAGGATGGGAAAGTATGAGTGGTATGTTAGGGTCTGGGACTACCTTTACAGGGGTTGACTAACTCACTGGTTCTTAACCTTTGTAACTCAGATGTTTTTGGACCTTCACCATCAGTTCTGCTGGCTGAGGTTTCTGGGAGTTGCAGTTCAAAGACACCTGAGTAACAAAGGTTAAGAACCACTGGACTAACTCAAGGTTTAATACGGGATGCAGTAAGATATCCACATATATTTTTCTAGAGCCAATACACGTAAGAACTATCTAAATTACTACTGAATATTAAATTATTCAATATTAATCGGTCAGAACAAGTTATAACAGACATAACATTTTGCTTCCAGAGGATCCTTGTATGAGGATAGGCAAGTTGTAATCATGCATCACCATGTATTGTTGCTCTTGTATCTTTAAAGTAAACGTTTCAACCCTTATTTTTAAACTCTAAATTCAGAATAAATTTTGCAGTCTAAACTGCTACTTAATGATACAATGAAGATCTTAAAAAGTAACCAACTGTGTGACTTCATATGTTAGTTATTCCTGGATTTACTTTCCCCAGCTGATGAAAAAAGATTCTGGTTTCTTTTTACATTGTTAACATTGTAGTTAGGCATGGCAGAGGGATGTACGTTAGTATTTTATCAATGCATAAGTAGAAGAATATAAAATGGCAACTGTAGTCCAAAAAAAATTGCATTGCCCATATGACAGAAAATGAAGGCTTTTCCTATTGACTCTTTCAGGCATTTACGAGACAAAGGAGAGGATGACAAAATGCCACCTATCCGGAAAAAACAACGTGGGCTACTTCTGAAGCTGCAGCAGGAGAAAGTAAAAATAATTTTTAAGTTTGATTTTGTCTGTTGTTACTTTGCCTATGTAACAAAAGACACAGAATAATCAAAAGATGATGTAGTTTAGCAGAATTTCAGTTATTCTGCTGATTACCGTGGGGGTAAGTGGGGGGGTAAGTCTGTGCGTCTTATGGAGCAAAGGCCACGATTTTGCTCCCACTGGCCCCGTGGGGGGGTAGCATCGCAAAGGTCCGAGTGAGCCTTCCAGGACCCTTGCGACACTCCCTCCACCCCCACACAGGGCTAGCGTGGGCGAAATCGCCACCTTCTGGGAGTCTTTTGAGGCTTGGGAAGCTTCAGAAGACTCCCAGAAGGTGGTGATTTCACTCCCTCTGACCCCTGGGGGGCAGGGTGAGTCTCTAAAGGGTCCTAGGTGGTGTTCCAGGACCC